TTCTGCAATCAATAAACTAGCCGCTAAAATTACCTCTAGTGAGGATAGTATACCCAGTTTTTTAATTAAAGATTGTAGAAATACTTTTATAAAACCCCTTAAGTTTATTTTTAATATGTCATTAAAAACTTGTATATTTCCAGATAAATTTAAAATCGCACGTGTATGTGCAATTCTCAAGTCAGGAGATCCATCTCTATTTAATAATTACCGCCCTATTTCAGTTTTAAATAATTTTGCTATGATTTTCGAAATTTGCATTTATAATAAAATTTACCCTCTAACTGAATCTTTAATATCGGTACATCAGCATGGTTTTATGGAAAATCGTTCTACCGTTTCTAATTTATCATCTTTTTCTCAGTTTTTACAAGATACTTTAGATAATTGTGGTCAAGTAGATGTAGTTTTAACAGATTTCGAAAAAGCTTTTGATAAAATCGACCCAAAAGTAATCGTTAACAAGTTAGATCAATTTGGATTTTCATCAGCAATGAAAACATTCTTCCTTTCATACTTATCTTGTCGACAACAATTTGTTTCTTATAATGGATTTTCATCAAATTTATTCTATGCTACCTCAGGAGTTCCTCAAGGGTCCAATATGGGTCCTCTATTTTTCTTGTATTTCATCAATGATGTCACTGATTATATCGCTTGTTTCAAATTGTTATTTGCAAATGATTTAAAAGTACTTCTTGAAATTTCTGATATACATGATTGTTTATTCCTTCAAGAACAATTAAATAATTTATATGATTGGTGTATGCGCAATAAATTGTTTCTCAACATACGAAAATGCAAAGCTATAAGTTTTAGCAGAAAAGTCAACATTACAAATTTTAATTATACCATTAATAATGAAGAACTAGTCAGGTGTGATCACACTAAAGATCTAGGTGTTATATTTGATTCGGAACAAACTTTTAGTGTACATGTTAATACTATTACTAAATCTGCAAATAAAATGTTGGGATTTTTATTTCGCAATTGTCAAAAGTTTAGAACTGAAGCTGTCTTAAAGTCACTGTACTTTTCATTAGTTTGCTCCAAGTTGGAATATGCTTCTTTGATTTGGTATCCGAAGACAGAGTTGCAGAAGAACATCATTGAAAGGGTGCAACGCAAATTTTTAAAGTTTTTAAATTACAAGGTTAGGGGTATCTATCCCCCCCCACGGATTTGATGAAAATGTGTTGCGTAATAGATATAATGTAAATCCCTTGAAAATAGAAGAAAATTAATGTCAATTTCTACAATTTATAAAATACTTCATAATATAATTGATTGTTCTATTCTACTCGAAGGACTTTACTTTTTAGTAACACGACAAAATGCAGGGACATCCAACACGTTTTCTCTTCCTATTTCTAGGACTAACCTGCTAATGAAATCACCAATATATTGTAATGATATCGCACCTGATACCATTTTTATTTTTATTTTAATTAAGCATAATATTTATTTACCTCAGGCTTGCTATTTTTTTTTATTAATTTGAGCCCATTTTATTTTTTATCTCAGGGGTGCTTCCAAAGTTATATTATTACTTTTTTTTTTAATTTAATTTTATTTTATTTTAATTCTATTTAAAGTTTATTTTAATTTTAATTTTCTTATTTCAATTTTATTTTAATTTTATTTGGAATTTTATTTTATTTGAATTTTAATTTTATTTTACAATATCAATAAAATAAAAAAATGACAACTTGTTTTACATCCTGTATATCCAAATACTAAATAAACAAATTTTTAAAACTACAATACAAGATTTATTTTTCGACACATTATATAAATCTCCAATTAGCAAAATTCCCCGCTCTTTCTATTTATGGGGATTACAACATACTACCTATATTACTAAACTACTTTAAATTCATTCTCTCTTCATTTATTCTCACTAAACTATGTACTAAAATTAAATTCTACGACTATCAATGTCTTTTTACACACAACTACTTGAATTAGTTTATGAAATTTACTCACTGTTCACTTGAAAAGTGTCTATTTCCACAAGTTGGTATTCGATTATATACGGTTTATCGGTCCTCTCTTGGTTCTTCTATCCATAACTCTCCAGAAACAATTATGAATGTTCTTCCGTAAATACTTTATACTTTACAAACATTAACTATATGGTTCTGTAAATTTGTTTATTTTCAATCTGTTTTATATATTAGTTTTCCAATTTCTGTTTTATATCATTCAAAAGAATTCAATCTTTCTTTCCAAAAAAAATCTTTACAAAAATTTTGACATCTTTTCTTCTCAAATTGACATTCCACAACCCCAAACATCGAAACCATCCTTTCTATCTACTTTCACTTATGACTTGCTTATAAATTTTAAATATACAGGGTTATATAACATTTTCCCACTTTACTTTATTCATTAATGTTCTTTTTTTTTTTTTTTTTTTTTTTTTTTTTTTGATGTCATCGGCGTCGACTACTACGGCCATTAGCCTCGTGTTCTGTGTAGGCTTTGTTACTGTTTCCCAGCGCCACTTTAGGAAAAGCACTGTTAATTAGAACCCAACAGTGAATGGTCGAGTGGGGAATCCTACCAAGGCATCAGAATTAATTTTAAATAATTAAATTAAATGAAAAAATCCCGGCCAACGGTGGGATTCGAACCTAAGACCTTTCGATCTCAAAGTCATGACTCTAACCACTGAGCCAACCCACCCCCTCATTAATGTTCTTATTATTATTATTGTTATTATTATTAATATGGTTATTATTAGATTATTATTATTATTATATGGATATAGGGTGTTTTCATTACAATATATTATGTGCCAAAATGTTAATATTTTATTTTCAAAAGGAAAGATTTGTATTTCGTGCAAAACTTTTTAATTAATAAATGCAAAGCGCTTTCGGCTTATTAGCCATCATCAGTGCTTATTGTCCACAATGTATCCAACAAGTTCCTGGTCATCCTCACTCCCGAAATTAGATATTTCGGGATATTTACAACTTGCTAAATCATATTATTAGTATTATTAATATTTTAAAATTTAAATTTATTTATCTATTCATTTTTATTTTTATTCATTTTTATTTTTCAGCTGTTTCGAGCTGTTTTGAATCTTAACTACGTGCACACAGCTGTCAACATTTTTTGGTTATTTCAATTAATATTTTATGTTTGAATTGCGATATATTTTTTGAAAAACTTGCACATGTTTGGCGCATAGTCAATCTCAATTTTTAATTTTAATTTTTACACTAAGCTTTATATTTATTTTGTTATTATTTATTATTATTACTATCTTAGTACTTATTTCTAAATTGTAATATTTTTATTTTAAACTTGCACATGTTTTGCGCAGAGTCAATCCAGTTTATAATTTTTATGTTCATTTCTTTTTTTAACTTTATATATATATTTTGTTATTATTTATCTTAGTACTTATCAATATTTGCTCTTAAAAATCTATTAATGTTATATTTTGTCCTATCTTTGGATGTTATATCTGTTGGGCAATAAAGAATTTATTATTTATTTATTTTATTTTGTATTTAAATTATTATTTTTTCAGAATTATTTGTTTAATTATTAATTGGTTAAACGATCAGTTTAAAATTTAGGGCTGGGCTAGACTGATGTATTAATAAAATATGTTGGATGAATTTTCAATATATTCGAGCTGTTTTCTAGTATTTTGATAAACACCAGTATCATAGGGTGCACATTTTTTAATAACTCTTGTTTGAATATAATCTAGCCCTCAGGCTCTTTTTTCGTTTAAAATGATATATCTAACATTTAGTGAGGAACGATGGGGAGGAGGTTCCCAGACAGCACACAGGCTCAAACGTATTCATTTGAGGGTCAGAAATCTATTAATGTTATATTTTGTCCTATCTTTGGATGTTATATCTGTTGGGCAATAAAGAATTTATTACTATTAATTATTATTTATTTATTTTATTTTGTATTTCAATTATAATTTTTTTCAGAATTATTTGTTTAATTATTAATTGATTAAACGATCGGTTTAAAATTTAGGGCTGGGCTAAACTGATGTATTAATAAAATATGTTGGATGAATTTCCAATGTATTCGAGCTGTTTTCTAGTATTTTGATAAACACCAGTATCATAGGGTGCACATTTTTTAATAACTCTAGTTTGAATATAATCTAGCCCTGAGGCTCTTTTTTCGTTTAAAATGATATATCTAACATTAAGTGAGGAACGATGAGGAGCAGGTTCCCAGACAGCACACAGGGTCAAACGGATCCATTTGAGGGTCAGAACGTCCATATTCGTATTTGGAGATCCAGTGTACGTCCGCTAATAATCATTAATTTGACAACTTCATATCGATACCCAGAGGACGTTATTTTGACGTCCAGTAGACGTCCATAATTTATTTAGTCTACCAGATAATACCCATCTATATACACTTTCTTTTTTTTTTATTTATTTGGTCATTAAAAATTGACAAATTGAATCTATTGCATTTTAATCTATCAGCGGAAGTTTAAAAATCTTAATCTAGTAAAACGTTTTAAAGTGGCTCATTGGTAGAGATCATCTAGTGGTTGAAAGCGTAGAAAGATAATGGACGTGTCGTGAGTTCTAGCCTGCTCTGGTCAAGCGATTGTTAATAATAAAAAAAGAAATGGTGTATAGCGGTTTGCAAAAATAATAAATAAATAATTAATAATACAAAATAGTATATGGTGAGTTATGGTTGTTTAAAAAAAGGGGATGTGGTCTCAATGGAATATAATCCAGGAATGGACGTTTTTTAAATGTCTGGTATCCAACGTCCAAATATAATCCAGAATTTGACGTCCACTGAATGGTCAAAAGTGTACTATTTGTATACTTTACTGGACGTCCATTGGAAGTCGGAATTCCATAAAAAAACTCATTTTTGGACGCCCAACATCCAAAATTGTATATCGAATGGACGTCCAATGGACCTATTTGTGATGTCTGGGTTGTTGCTATTTGTAGACATGGGAAATAAAAATGCATTAATGCTTCTGTTAGTTTATTTATTTAATAATTTTTAATGGTGATAATGAAATTTGTGACTTGAAGGACATTGTTGACGTGGAACACATTCATCAGTAATTTCATTTCTTATAAAACCTACATCACATACGCAACTGGGTCTACATTCGTATGTACAATAACCGTTGCATGGTTTCGGATGTGTGTTTTGGCATGTTTCTACAGATTCCGGACAGCAAGGTTTACAACCCATATGTTTATTCGGACCGCATTCATCTAAAAAGATAAAAATATATAAGTTTAACGGTAAAATTAGTTTAAATGTGTAAGATCGGATAAAGAAAGAAGGTAAATAATCTCACTGCATAAATACAGGTCCTAAAATTTAATTCTATCTGGGACTCTGCATCGGAAATGTTTACCTTGCATGTCTATAATATTAATTGCCAACTGCCATAAAGTAGGCGAATGTTTAACTTAATTTTATTTTGTTTGAATATTTTATATTTATTAATATTTAAAACGATTTTATAAAGAGGTATCTATTCTATAACAATGGAGAATAGAAAAAAATCATATTTTTAACTTCTCTCAACTAACTAGATGGTAAGTAATAATTTCAAATTATTTACAACTAAACAAGTATTAGAAATTAAAAATTTAAAAAACCGACTTCAAAAATGTGCAGATGCCATCACCACATCTTAACCAAATTTATATGGGACCACCCCTGAGGTACCCCCTTACTAAGAAAAAAAGAAGAATCATATAAATCGGACAAGGTGGTAAAGCATTATCGCTAAACATACATAAATACATAAAAAATGAAGAATTTGAGGATTTGCTCATGGACCCAATTATTAAATTTTGACCAAATTTATATGGGACCACCCCAGAAGTACCCCCTTTCTAACAAAAAAGAATCATTGAAATCGGACACCGTGTTAAAGAATTATCGCTGAACATACATAAAAAAAAATATTGCGACGAATTGAGAACCTCCTCCTTTTTTGAAGTCGGTTAAAAATAATATGAAAATGTTCAATTCCTTCTATATATTTAAAAAAAAACTATTAGAATGGAAATGAGATTAAAATTACTTAATTTTTTAAACCAAATTATAACAAATATCGTAACGAAAGGTTGACGGTAACTAGGAGGATAAATTAGTTTCATTTATTATTCATTTTGAAAATTATATATGTCGCAGGCTTATTATAAAATCAGTCTTATTATAATACGTCTAGGCTTTTTCGATACGACTAGGCATATCATAATACTACTTAAATAATTAAAAATCTCACAATTTGACTGATAATTTCAGGCGTATTATAATAAGCCTGCCGCTTGTTAGTCATATTGTTAAATTGAACCGGCGCGCATGTGTTTTAGAATCCGACTAGATTTAATCCGTCGTATTATAATACGACTGACGATGTGCCAGGCGAATTGTAATCATCATTGTTGTTGAATTGATTAAATGTTTTAATTTTTTTGTACCTACCTAGTATTTGTGCAAAATATTAATGGCTTGTTTAATCGATGGTTTTCGAGGGATGAAATAACTGACTGCCAAACGAATGAAATAACATTCCACACGGAAAAGCACTTACTTTAATAGAAGCTCTAAGGTTATTTTCAAAATTCGATGGATAGGAAAAGTGTTCTTGCAAGCCAAGCAAGACACAGTGTCATAACAATAAATGTTTATGTTTTAAAGCTCGTATGAACTGTACTAGCAGATGTCATAAAAATAGACCATGCTGTAATACATAATCCTAATCTATTATGCCTAGTCGTATTGAAAAGGCCTAGGCATAAGACTGATTTTACCATAAGCCTGCGACATATACAGTGCTATAGAATTAAATAAAAATTAACATTTATTTTTACTTAAAAATTTAAGGAACATTTTGCTTATTTTTTAATAAATAAACTTCACTGACTCTTGATTAATATTCTTAGAAGATTTTTTAAATAATACGTATTTCCCAAATTAAGCTAGATCTTTTTTATTAGAAAATAAGTCCTATTGACTACCAGTTCTTAGGCGAACACAGTTGTTTTATTTTTATTATTGTTATACTCTATATATAAACAACAGTTGCTCATGCGTGTGTCGACTTCACAGAACCTAAACAGGTTGTTTACCTTTCTTTTCCGTTCAGAATTCCCGTGTTTTGTTAAGTTTTGTGTTTGATATTTGGGCCGAATTAATGAAACAAAGGAAAACTTTATACTTGCCCAATATAGGGCAAATGTTTTAAGTTGTATTAATAAAAAATAAGCAACACATTTTCCTCTTTGAGCAAAAGCAAATGCTTATCTAGTAGACGTTTAAGTAAATGGGTATTAATAAAGCATGTCCTTTGCTTAGGTTTTGGAGCAAGTCCTTGCAAAACGATGCATTTCCTGCTAATTCTCTAACCAGTGTTTGCTGTGCTGTTCGTATTTGAAAAAGTAAAGCTTTTTCAAAAAAGTTACACATGAGTAGCATTTTGCTGTTCGCACTTCAAGTTTTGACATTTAAGGTTAAGATTTTTGGACGTAGATAAGTCAAACATTAAAATATGAACCTAAATATTAAAATATCAGCAAATTTATGCTGTCTATTTTATTTTTGATTCCTTATAATTCTATAATTGGACCCAATATATTCTAATAGAGTTTATAATTATCATAATGTCAAAAAGACATTCAAATCCTTACCATAGATATTTAGACCAATCAGCATTTATGATTTAAAATTATGACAACTTACGACAAAAATTAAAATCACGAATAGCAACCCCTGGTCAGTTGCAGACATCATTGTAGTCACAGGTGTGTATGTGTGTTTCTGTGTTACTATGGCCAATGAAGTGAACGTGAGTCACATCAAATATTATAAACCTTGTGGTAATCCACACAGCAAAGATTTTAAAAAGTTATTTCGCTTTGAAGAAACCAATGTTGAATGGCTATTAAACTAATTTCTAGATGAAATTAAAGAATCCATAGGGGACACGCTGTTGGTTATCAAAGTGGAATCACAGAAGAAATTGGAATGCCTCACGGTACGATAGTAATAATAAACATATTACTCTCCCTAATTCACTCCCTTACGAGTGAATTTTAACCCCAGAAATCGATTGTGGGGGGAAGGAACGGCTATTATTATTATTTGTCGTGGCGTTCCTGGACGACTTAAAGATAATTGATGATGCCATTTGACTAACAGGTGAAAAACACCCGGAAAACCTCAACCATCATCATCGAAACGATAATGCTAATACGACAACCATTAAATTCTACAATGAACCATGCAAATTAATTAAAAATGCACATAGGCTACTTTAGGATTCGAAGTCGTGTTCAATAAAATCACCAAAAGGCTCGTAAATAAATATGGGCCGCTGGAACATACTGTGTTACCGACGAATAAGCATTATTTGTTCTTCCCACTTAACTAGTTTTATTCTATTATTTCCTGTTTTCTTTAAGTATGTTTCTCTTAACCCTAGTCTTCAAATTGTTGATTTTTTTTCATGAAACCTTCTGTATCTCTTTCCCGAATATTCCTTTATATTTCTGCAATACCCTTGCGATTGCTTCATCTTTCTTTTTTTACTTTTAGAACTTGAGACCAAAATAAAAGAACAAGCTCGAAGTTCACCAGCATTAAATTTCAACTCGCTGCTGTTGCTACATTCTTCAGTTTTGCTTTCAGTAGATGACATGTAAAAACCAAAGTTTAACTAACAAAATCTTTATTTCACGACCCCTATTAACAAGAGGACCAGTATAGACTAAATACCAACAGGAAAAGTAGCGACAGCAAATGAAATGACGTGCACGTGCTAAACAACTACCTACTCTTCGTGTCTCAATATTATTAGTGCTGAAAGGATTTGCTTGCAAGTATAAGGTAATAATTATTAATACAGACAGAAGGATTTGCTTTCACTTCTACCTCTTACTTGCTGCAAAACCTTCTACTTCGACCTTTTCCTCTTAAACATTTCCTTCTATTTATTACTTACACTGTTTAATTCGTTTCCTGTTGTCTGTTGAATACTTAACTTTTCATTGTATCCAAGGTATACTTGATTTATTTCTAATTATTTAACTCTTTTAGAGTCGGTATTTTAAAAAAATATGTGTGCCGTTGCTACTTGCAAAAATAATCAGCTTAATTTAAAAAAGAAAAGCATTTTTTCAAAGGGTAACGATTTAGTATCTTTTACTATTCAAAAATAGGTAATGGATAAATCGTTCCAAGAGGGTATGTAAATTTAATGAGCATACATCTACAATTTATTCTGGACATATCACAATGATTATGTCCAGTAAACCAGAGCTCTTTTTAGGGGGTTATGATTGACAACCTGTGTTATTTATAACAGGTCTTTCATAAACACACAGAAATAACAACCTGTTTACCAATAAAGTGTCTGTTAAAAATAACATTACTTGTCGATCATAACCCCGTTACTCTCTATTTACCTGTTCAATTAGCATCATTTTAACATGTTGATATGAATTACCACTTGTGGGTTCTGGCCTCTCTTTTTTAAATAATCTATCTCTCTTTCTTTTTTTCATCGTTCCTGCTCTCTATTTATTATCTCTTTTCTCCTTCTCTTTCGGTGTCTTCTTTTATTTTTCTCTTTCCTTTTCTATCTTTATTTTTAACTTTCTCTTACTTCCAACATAGGCATTAGTGATATTTGGCTTTTAATAATCTCTGCCTTCATTGCTTCTTTATCTCCTGCTACTGTTTTCCATCAGACAGGTATTTCTAAAGGAACACGTACATTCAGAATGTGGAGGTTCTTAAAAAGTTTGTATAGTTGACTATATACTCGCAGTATCATTCTCAAAATTTTTTTTAGAAATATTAAAACTATTTTAAAATTTTTGTCGTGATCAATTAATTATTTGTTTCGCAATTACAATAGGTTTTATTATTGTGTTGTATAATTTCACTTTCTTGTATCTCTTTTAGCCTTTTTTTTTATTTAAGAACGTGGGATAATGCGATCCAGATTTTGCAGGAATTATTCCTCTGTGTATCTCGCTATATTTTGTACCGACCAAGTTTAAGTTCACCCTCAAATAAACAAATTGATCCACTGGTTCGATATTGTCTACTATTATACAACAATTCATGCTATTCTCTTGTGCCTCCTTAAAATTATTTTTATTTTTCTAAATTTAATCTCTTACATGTGATCTAATTTAATAAGCCTCAATAAAGACGCAAAATTAACATCGAAATGTCGACCATTTATAAGGAGTTCTCTTCCTATTAACCTCATATTTCATTTTAATTTATTATACCTTTGTTTAATTATTTAAGGCCTACCTAATTACATACCTGGACATACAGGGCATTCGCATGCAGGGACACATAACTTAGTAACAGCATCTCTTATAAAACCATATGCACATTCACATCTTTGTACGCATTGAAGAGTACAAAACTGAGATGATGTTGGGTTTGGATCTTGGCATGTGGGTTCAGGTTGACAGGCTGAAGCACATTCGTTGAAAACTTCTGTGTATGGATCACATAAACCTATAAAATAATGTCGTATTCAATTAAGTATTTTAACAATAAAAATCTAAATGACGATTTTAAGAAATAATTAATAGAATAGGTAAGACAAAAAACCTGAAGGTCTTGGTCACAATAATTATTTTTTAGTTTAGAATATTCTAACGATACGAATAGTTGTTAATCTAAACAATTTTAAATAAAATATTTAATAGAATAAAAAGTTAAATGTTTAAAACATCCATAATTGATTAGAAAAAAGAAAAGTACAAAAAAGCAAATTATTATTATAAGTTTGTACTGTGAAGCAACAAACCTAGTGATACCTTCTGGGTGCTTCGATATAATTGGATCCTTATCACACATCTATTCTTAAGACTTCCACTACATATTTGTAGTAATGAAATTTAATTTTTCACCAGTTTTCTCCTAATTTTCCTGAGTACGACTTTTAACTCTTTTCCCGGTTTAACCGGAAATTACAGTGTTTTTTCGGGGTTATGGCAACTACTTTCTTTTTTCCTACCTATCTAAAAATGTAGCACATAAAACATCGTTTATTTTTTAATACAAATTAGAGTGATTTAAAATAATTGTGAATACTTAACTAATTATTTATTTGAAATAATAATATAACTTGGAAAAGGAATCAAAATATACAAAACTAATTAATTAAACTGCTGCTCATTTACTAAAACATATTTATCGACTTTTTTATTCTTTTTATTTTTTGCCATTTTTATTTTTGTTTTTTTTTTTGATTTTCTGCTTTTTTATATTTTCCTTTTTTTTATTTTTTAAAAGTTGTATAGGTTTGTAAAAAGGTCCAAGTATAACGGAACTCCTGGTATTGTTCTACTCAGGATGATCAAATTAGAATATTTTTCGAAAAAACATAATTAATCAAATTTACAAACTTGGACAAGAAGGACAATCTTGGATCCTCACGCATGTTTTAGTATTTTCGTCCCTGATGTAACCTGCATCACAGAAACAACGTTGTGCACATTCCTTAGTACATATGGTTGGCTGAACTGGATTTGGATTTTGACAAGTAGGTTCAATATAGCAACGTGAGGCACATTCGTTAAAGACTTCATTTGCTGAACAGTAACCTACAATTAATTGTTATTTATGTACCAAGTCAGCAAAGCGATTCTTTATTGAACTAGTCTGAGATTATGAGCCGAGCGATCGAGGCGAGTTTGATAAAAACACTTTGCTGACGTGGTCCATACAAACTTTTATCGCCAACCGTAAATAATTATAATTAATAAAAAAGGAGATATTATAACATCAAATTTTAGTATGAGAAAGTAAACAAACAGAAAAATAACAGCGAATACAAAACAAATCAGTTACAGACTATTTCTGTCAGACGATCATGGCTATGTTGATAAATATTAGCAGCAGATTACATATATGATTTTTACAATGAGATAAAGTGATTGTTTACTTCCTCAAATCGCTATGGTAATGCATGGCTTTATTGACGGTTGGTGATAAAATACATTATTACTTATTAATAGTTTTGTCATAAACGTAACAGTAAAAAGGCTAGTAATAAAATAATGGTAAAGTAGTTAAGAAGGAAAAAAAAGAAGTTGTAGTAGTAGTAGAAGAAGAAGAAGAAGAAGAAGAAGAAGAAGAAAACGAAGAAGAATATTTTAACAAATATAATTTAAGCTTTAGTATTTCGGACTGTTAAATAATACAAAAGACTATGAAGGTATGGATTTGTTTTTTAGAAAACGGTAAGGTCGCATAGTAGCCATAATAATACGGTGTGTGAGGTCATACAATGGTAAAAGGGTAGGTACAAATATGGCGAGCATTACGGTTGTTGTAGATGTAAAGTCAGAAAGCGCGAATTCTTACTACCGTTTTTTTTTTAGCCAGTTGTGTTTATGAGTTTGTAAATTATAAGATAGGGGAGACCAGGGAAAATGATCCCCTGCGGCATTACGATCCTTTCCGTTTTTCCAACGAACTACAACCGCCCTCTATGGGCCGATAGCGAAAGATGCTTCCGCACGTCGCAATTCGGCAGTTTGCTTCAAATCGTCCACGTGTTCACATGAAATACGATTTCGACAAGGAAACAAGTTTTTCTGCGTGTTTGATCTAACGTAAGTAAGTACCTTATTAAAATCTCTATAATTAGTTAAGTGTTTTGTTAATTACTATTGTGTATACAGGCATTCAAAAGGGATACTAACGGGAACCTTTATCTAATTTGGACACGTTCGTATAACGGACTGTAGCCAGTACATGTGGAATTTTTTAAATGCTAAGAAATGGGACAGAACAATCCGTTATGCATCGGAGTAGATCGATCCTGGCAATTATGGTTCGAACCTATAAAAGAAAATCCCAAAGGCAAAATTGGAAGATTGAAGATATGTAAAATGCCATTAAATGTTGAAAATGGAATGTCCATACGGACAGCTACAACCAATTTTAAGGTACCTAGAATGGCGTTGAAGCGGCTTATTAAAAAGAAAAGAGCTGATGGTGTTCTTCCTAAGCCACTGAAAAAGCTTGGATCCATCCATTGTGTATTTACGGAAGATCAGGTAGCTAGGTTATTGAGGTACATATTTGATATGGAAACGCGAATTTACAGATAGCTTACGTGATGTTCGATGTCTAGCCTTTCAACTGGCGTAAAAAACAATATTAACCATCTGTTTTCAAAAATCAGTCAAGCGACTGGGAAGGCCTGGTTTGTCCAATTGAGGATAAGGCACCCAAACGTGTCTGAGAGTTTAGAATCGTCGTCCATAGTAAGGGCGCGCGGTTTCAACAAGGTGAATCTAAAATCCGAGTCGGCCGGCAAACAACTACCGGCGCATCGTATATTCAATGTCGACGAGACTTCGATAAGTATAGTCTCTCGCCATAACTCTAAGATAGTTGCAATGGGAGACAGAAATGAAGTTTCGAGAATAACATCTGCCGATCATGGAATGTCCACAACTGTTGTAATTTGCTCTTCTGCTGGTGAAAATTTTATTCCGCCGTTGTTCAATTTTGCTCGGAAGAGAATACAGAAAGAATTAAAAGATAGGGCTCCCCAGGATCAATATTCTCCTGCAATGCTAATGATTGGATGACAAGAGATGTTTTTTGATTTGGTTTGACCACTTTTTAAATCACGCAAAACCTACCAACGAAGACCCCGCTCTACTCTTATTTTAGGTGGTCATGGAAGCCACACTAAAAATTTGGAAGTGATTGTCAAAGCCCAAAGGAATAATGACGTCCTCTTGTGCTCCCCCCTCATACCTCCCATAGACCTCAGCCATTTGATGTGAGAGTTATGTAGAACAGAAGTAAAAGTTGGAAATGCTTTTGCGAGTTCTCCCACTTTATACACATAAATTGACAGGTTGGCAGCGGATCTCACCGAAGTGGACGCGATACATTGGCGTACAAAATTATTTTATAGATGGTAATAACAATTTCAAGTAAATAATTTAATAAATTGTAAATAGCTGTTGAAATTTTGTAAAATTATGATTTGAATATTATAATACATGTTTAATAATTATTTATAATCCATAAATACATGCGATTGTCCGGTTCCACCGATAACAATTTAAAATTACTTATTCTATGAAACGACATTGGCAGGTAAGCATTACTGCGAAATTCTCGGAGCCGCCCGAAGTGGTTTGACGTTTACCCCCTCTCTACCTACCAAAAGCCTTTCCAACTTTTACTTTTCCCATATCCTCGTAGTCGATATCTCGATTAAGCTTTCGAAAACTTGTTAAACAACAACCCTGAATGTACTGTATCTGTCTTTCAAATAAGTAAACTGTTTTGTGAAGCATATTTAAAAGGTTATCGTCTCATTAGACCAGTATACTTTCTCAGATATCGACTTTGTATCCGCAGATGTTTCCAAAGAAGATCCTTCCGATATATCTGCTAAGATACAAAATCCAGAAGAAAAGAGTTAAGAACTAGAAGCAATTGCTTCTGAGCGTAATAAAGAACCTATTCCTACGAAAAATACAAGGCGAGGACTTATTTTTAGATATTTCACTGAAAAGAAAGTTTTTGCCTAAGGACTTTTTTTTAGAAATGTGATATCGAAAGAGTTTTTTTATAAAATTGTCCCAAGGCCCCACCTGGCTCTCGGCGGTCCTGGTGGCACCTAATTCATAGAACAAGGCGGAATATTAACCAGAAGACTGACAATAAAAGAAATAAATTCCAATAATCAAATGTGACTAATTTAAAAATAAAAATAAAGGACATGGAGGAACAACTTAAACAAACATAACAAACACGCATCGGCAATATAGCAGGAACAGAAGTTCGAAATGCATAGAAGTGGTGAACGTCAAACCCAGTCGGAGAACTTGAGAATTTCGCGGTAATGTTTGTTCGCCATTGTTGTGTCATATAATAAAAATAATACCAAACAATTATTACCAGCGAAATAGGGCTAACGTATCTGTTTATGACCTACAAATAATAATTTAAACAAGTAATCATATCTTAAATCATAAAATTTCAACAAATATTTCCAATTTATTAAATTACAAATATTTACTCAAAATTGTTATTAGCATTTATAAAACAATTTTCAACGCCAATGTTTCGCGTTCATCTCGGTTAGCTCCGCGGCAAAAATATCAAATGATGTGTATGGAGTGAGAGAATAGGCATAAACATGGGAAAATATGACAGGAAACGGCAAAGTCCCTAAGACCAATAAGTCTTATGTCCTTTGTACTTAAGACTTTGGAAAAACTGCTAGATAGGCATATTAGAGACGGGATATTGGTTCAGATGCCAATATACCAAGACCAATATGCCTATAGTGTAGGGAAATCAACTGAGACAGTTCTCCATCAATTAATAAAAGGGGTGGAGAACACACTGGAAAAAAAGGAGGTAATGCTGGGAGCATTCTTGGATATCGAGGGTGCATTTGACAATACCTCAGTTGAATCGATCATTAGATCTCGCAAACACAGAGGAATCGAGGACACGTGCGTGTTCTGGATCGACTCTATGTTAAGAGAGAGAACTATACACACAACCCTTATGAGAGAGACAATAGTGGCACGGGTAGCGAGAGGATGTCCGCAGGGTGGAGTACTGTCTCCACTCCTGTTGAACCTTGTAGTGGACGGGCTTGCTTAGGGCTCTCAAAGATAAGGGACATAGAACCATGGGATATGCTGATGATCTAGTGATCATGGCACAGGGAAAATACAACACTATAGTAAGAGATCGAATGCAAGAGGCTCTAAATATAGTAACAAAATGGACAGAGGCGGAAGGACTAAACATTAGCCCAAACAAATCTGACATAATTGCATTCACCCGCAGGAGGAAATTGGAAAGACTAGGGCCTCTAAACCTAAGGTGCAAGCATCCAGCTTAAGGGGGAGGTAAAATATCTCGGGGTTGTGATTGACTCGAGACTTACCTGGAACCAGCATTTAGAAAAAACCACAAGGAAAGCGGAAACCTCGTTAATGATGGCAATCCTTTGGAAAAAAACTGGGGGTTAAAACCAGACATGGTATATTGGCTTTATAACATGGTGGTGAGACCGATAATAACATACGCAGCTTTGGTGTGGTAGCCAAAGGCACAGCAAAGGAAAGCAATAACGAGGCTAAGCAAGGTACAAAGACTTGCCTGCCTCGGAATAACGGGGGCAATGAAAACAACCCCCACTGCTGCAATGGAAGCACTAATAGGACTCTCACCTCGTCACTATGTGATACAAGGGGAGGCAAGATTAGCTGCTTACAGATTAGGGAATACACTGGGAAATCTTGACATTAGGCCAGATCACATGAGTATCTCAAGGTTAGTGACAGGAGACGTGCTAGACATGAGATCAGACCACATAACCAAGAGGTACTCTTTTAATACTCCATTTGAGGTTTTAATACAGGAAAGAGCGGAGATCACCATAAGGGAGCCCAATGCCCAACGACAGGAACAAACCTTGTATACAGAAGGGTCTAAGACTGCAGAAGGCACTGGGGCGGGACTATTCTCCAAAAACGCTGATACTAACCATAGCTATGCTATAGGAATACATTTCTCGGTATTTCAGGCCGAGGTATACGCAATTTTGCAATGTGCAAAAACGAACAATGAAAGAACTGTCGAAAATCATCATATTTAAATAATGTCAGACAGCCAAGCGACACTTAAGTCAGAAAGTTACGTCGAGGCTAGTATGGGAATGCATCGAAGAACTAAGAACACTGGCAGACCGAAATAAAGTTAAACTATTTTGGGTGCCAGGTCACCAAGGGATCGAAGGCAATGAAAAGGCTGACGAACTTGCAAAAAAGGATCAGAAAAACACCGAAACCAGACACAAACGCAGGAGTACTAAAAAGTACAGTCCGAGGTTTCATAAACGACTGGATTCGAGAACAACATATCAACTATTGGGGAATCACCCCAAAACAGGCACATGGAAAAGCCTTCATAGGCAGACCATGTCCAAAAAGAACTGGAGAACTACTCTTTATGAATAGGAATCAGTTGAAAGTGATAACAGGGTTTATGACTAAGCACACCCCAGTAAAGAGACACTTGAACAAAATTGGCATGTACAATGGGGAACTTATGTGCCGACTATGTCACAAGAAACCAGAAACTGCCAAACACATACTGTACGAATGCGAAGCTCTAGATCGCAAAAGACAGGCTCTTTTTGGACAACCCCAGGTTGATCCAACAAGGTATGGAACCCACTCACCCAAGGATCTGTACAAACTTGTACAAAGGTGGAGTGGGTGCTATGAACTAACATGGGGTAAAACACGATAAGCCAACAGGCTTCAGTGTTATTCGGAGACATAGTCATACGAGCCCAGGAAAAAAAAAGCCATTCCAATTGTCCCTGCTCTACACAAGTTATTGCTAACATAGAGCGAGAAAGTACCTAAATCATATTCCGGACCACATGATAGACATAAAGTGGGTGTGGCACAGATGTATTGAAACCAAGTTGCTTTATTATGTTTAAAAAATATACCATTCCATCAACGAATCTCGTAGAGTTCACAGCTATGTTAGTTAAGAGAATGCTTATTTAAAAAAATGTTATTTATTTTTTTGGCATTTTTCATTTTAATAACAAGTTGTAAACACAATACACTTGTAATTTATAGATATCATCAGTCAGACAAATCTAAAACTAATCTAAAAAACTTTATTCCTCGAGAACATAACTTTAAAAAATAGGAAAGGTGAACCAGCAGAAAAAACATTACTCCTTTCCAAATTAGTAGTAAATAATATCAACGAAAATCTTTTTTATAAAACAATTTTCTACCAAGCCTCTTTTACTTTATCTATGAACATTATTCATTAGGTTTTGAACGCTTTGAACATTTATTTCGCGTATCTGTCTAAAAATTCTTTGTCAGTTATTCCTCATTTTCGGCTTGCTAATCTCCATCATACACTTTGCAAGATAGAAGTACCCAATAATCTCCCATTGGTAGGGACTGAGGTAAATTAGGGGGTGATCTTATTTTGGTACAAATAGTATAGTCCACAGTACGTCCACACCTGCTTTGCTTGATTACCACATATTTAAAAATTCGTAAGTGGCTTCGCCTGAACATGTCGATTTTACAATGTTATGTAATATAATGATCACATACTTCTTTTGCAGTACAATTAAAAGATCATTTGATAATAAACACGAAACAAGGCTTAACCGACAGAATTAATCCGGCGATCGATGAGTTCACGGCTGCAACATATCAAAATAACAAGGTTATATTTTATAATCAGCACATTAATATTTGCAGTATTATTTTATAAATACAGCTTCACCCAATTAGTCATAATGAACGCCAAATTCAACATATCTAAAAATAAAACAAATGTTATTAAATACAAATTAGTGTGATTTAAAATAATTGTTACAGTTCTTTTGAGTAACTATTTATTTATTTATTTAAAATACTAATTTAACTTGGAAAATGAAGGAAAATATAAAACAATAATTACTGTTTAAAGTGCTGATCACTTACTGTAACACATTTCTTAGGTTTTTTATTCATTTTCATTATTTTATTTGTCATTTTATAATTTTCGGTTAAACCAGACGTAAATCGAAAAAAATAAAAATGAGGACACTGGTAAAAATCGAAATTCATTATCTAAACTAGTTTAAAGTTATATAGGTTTGAAAAAGGTCAAAGTATAACGGAGCTCCCGATATTGTTCTACTCAAAAAAATAAAATTTGAATATTTTAAGAAAAAACACTATTATTAAAATTTACAAACTTGGACAAGAAGGACAATCTTGGATCCTCACGCATGTTCGAGTATTTTCGTCTCTGATGTAACCTGCATCACAAAAACAACGTTGTGCACATTCATCAGTACACATCGTGGGCTGAACTGGATCTGGATTTTGACAAGTAGGTTCAATATAACAACGCGAGGCACATTCATTAAAGATTTCATTTACTGGACAGTAACCTATAATTAATTGAAATATATTATTATACAACATATTTTTTGAACATGTGGCAAAACTTCAAGGAGTTGTTCCTTGGACTATTCTAAGAATATTTTGTTCCTTGATGATTTTGAAATTCCGTTACGAGAACACTATATTTATTATTTTTAAAATTATTAATAGTCTAAATAAAAATAGGTACTACACTGTGTTAACCAAGAACATTCAACTTTTTTTAAAAATTCGTTATTTTTATTATTTTTTAACAACATTCCAATTACTAAAAATGGGTATTTTTTCCACTTAAAACAGGCAAAAGTTCAGACATCGTAAAGAATTTCAGATTAAATCTGGATTGCAGTTGAATTCGTCTAGTGATTGATCATTTGGTAGTTAAAATTTTGTTACTGACTTTATCATGAATCACTATACAAACGCCGAGATGACTGACGTACATTACATTTATGGTCTTGCTGATAGAAATTCATTAGAAGTTAGGAGGTTGTACATTGGACGATTTCCTGACCGTAATATTCCTTATAGAAAATTGTTCCAAAATATTCATCAACGTCTTCATGACACAGACGCATTGAGACGAAGTGGAGGGCCAGGAAGGCCAAATACAGCAAGAACGGTGGAAGTGAAAGAAAATTTGCTTGACATGATCGAGGAAGATCCGAAAAATTTCAAATACTTTGAATGTGGGTTTGGAAAATTCTTAGAAATAATTTGTTATACCTATACCACATACAACGCATTCAGGCACTTCTTCCTGCTGATTTTCCTCCACGTATTGCATTTTGTCAATGGCTTTTGCACACATTAGTTCAAACTCCTCAACTGCTGCCCTATTCTTTTTACCGATGAAGCGAATTTCTTAAGAAATGCAATAAGGAATTTTTACAATAACCATGTATGGGCTGACGAAAATCCACATGAGTTAATTGAATATTGTTTTCAACATCAGTTTTCGTTGAATGTTTGTATTGCAATTGTGAGTGAATGGCTAATAGGGCCGGTATTTCTACCAGCAAGACTTACCGGTGAAGTGTATTGCAACTTTTTAGATCAAACTCTACCTGATTTTCTGGATGATGTACCGTTGGCAATAAGAAATGCAATGTAGTTTATGCACGATGGTGCATCAGCGCATTTCAGTTTGGTTGCTCGTGAGTTTCTGACTCTAAGATACGGAGATCGCTGGATTGGTCGAGTAGGACCTCATTTATGATCCGCTCGTTCTCCGGACTTAAACTTCTTGGATTATTTCCTATGGGGCCATCTAAAGTCATGAATGTATACTACTCCTGTAGTAAATGAGGAAGACTTGCGAATTAGGATAATTGCTAGGTGTAACTCAATAAGAAACGACCCTGGTGTTTTTGAAAAAGTTTGGCAGTCAATGAGGAGAAGATTGGATGCTTGCATTCTTGCTGGAGGCAGTCATTTTCAAAAGTTCTTGTAGATTAAGTAACATTTACATGTATTTTTTGGTAATAAAACACCCTGTATATATAATTAAATAAAAAGGCTAGGAATAGAAGAAAAGTTAGGTATACAAGATAGAAGAAAAAGAAGAGGTGAGAGGAAAAGAAAACAAAATATTTTTAACAAATATGTTTTAAGCTTTCGTATTCCCTCTGTGAAAATTGACGGAAACGCTGCGTTTTCTACTGCACGACGCCCGAACATGTCGATTTTACGATGGTATGTAATACACCACATACTTTTTTAAATCGCAATTAAGAGATCATTTAACAAAAAACACGAAACAAGGCTTGAACGACAGAATTAATCCGGCGATCGATGAGTCCTCCGGCTGCAACATGTAAAAATAACGAGGTTATAATTTCTAATTACCACATCATTAATTTTCGCAGGATTGTTTAATAAATACATTCTCGCCCAATTAGTCATAGTGACCGCCAAATTTAACCGATTTAAAAATATAGCACATAAAACAGTTGTTTTTTTTTTAATACAAATAAGAGCGATCTGAAATAATTGTAACATTCCTATCGAGTAATTATTTAATTATTTGAAATAATAATTTAACTTGGAAAACGAAGGAAAAAAATAATTAAACTATTCAAAGTGCTGATCATTTACTGTAACACATATATCAGGTATTTAATTTTTTTTTTCATTTTGTCATTTTCAATTAAAACGGACGTGAGTCGAAAAAAATAAACATTAGAATATTTGTAAAAACCGGAATTCATTATCTAAACTAGTTTAAAAGTTATATAGGCTTGAAAAAGGTCAAAGTAAAACGGAGCTTCCGGTATTGTTCTACCCCAGATAATCAAATTTGAATATTATGAGAAAAAATACTTGTATTAAAATTAACAAACTTGTACAAGAAGGACAATCTTCGATCCTCACGCATGTTTTTGTATTTGCATCTCTGATGTAACCCTTCTCACAGAAACAACGTTGTGTACATTCTTCAGTACAAAAAGTGGGCTGAACTGGTTCTGGATTTTGACAAGTAGGTTCAATATAACAACGCGAGGCACATTCATTAAAGATTTCATGTACTGGACAGGAATCTAAAATTAATTGAAATATGTTACTACTTATTAATACTTTTAACATAGCCGTAAACGTAAAAAGAAGAAAACTAGAGAGATGGAGGCGAATCGGCAAATATTAAATTTTAAATTTCCGTCCTTCTTTTTATAAAGTTCGCCAAATTGACTGTAGTTGGCAATTTACTATGTAAGTCAATTTAAAATGTTTCTTTTTAAATTGGTGAAAAAAATCAAAATAATGTGAAAAAAGTACATAAGTACAAGTAACATTAATAACAAAAAACATCAAAGCAAGATTTACTTCGTTCCAGATTGTAAAATGGGATACAAATAAGACGTAAAACTAAAGAAAACAACAAGAAATCAATTCAATGTCTTTTTAAAGCTTCTAATTCAAGCAAAACAAGTTTCTATAATATAAAATTTTACAGTCATAGATTCTGACTTACAAACAACAATAATTTCATATTAAATCTAACTCACAAAAAAATTGTTAGAGTTTTAATATTAGATGAAGATTTACTACTGTTATTTTTTTGTGGAACCCCAATTTTGTCATTGTAAATATTTTTTATAGGATCTTAAATTCTTAGAATAGTGGCAGCATATACCTATATGGTTCCTAGGGCCGATAAAGCACTTTCTAGAGATGATGCTGTTCTAAACTTTTAAGAAGATATTTCCAAATATTATTCGACTTTTTTTACTAAACAAAATAAAAAGGGAAATTCCGAGGTAATAAGATGTATATTATCAAATCTCCCTTTATGCTTGTATTATAACAATAAACAATCTGTTAACTGTGTTTTATTTTGCTCTTAAAACTATATTTAGGTTTAATTCAAAAAAATTTAGTAACAAAAATGTACTTATTAAATTTCACCATTTAACAAACCTTTTCGAATTTGATCATACCTACCTAATTTGTATTTTATATACCAGGTCTTCAACAATACCCGAAACCCACGTGATCTGATAACCATCAAAAACCCATCGAAAGGGCCTGATTTGACGTAAAAGGAACTAAACTGAACTTTCAATCCTGTCAGAAATGTCCTGGCGTTCATTTGGGGACTGACAATATTTATATTATATTTGTTTACATTTTATAAACACCCTTAGTCCATTTTTCATTTAATATTAATAAAGCAATTAGTTATTTTTAGAGAATATTGGTGGCTTCTTTTTTGTTGGTAAGTACAAATTTATTTACTGTAACTCGTAAAAGTTAATGACTATATAATTTATTGTAGGTAATGTTATACTGGAACAAAATTATTCGAAAATTTGAGGAACGTTTTCCAGGTGAATAAATGGTATGTGATTCTTTTTTGTCGTCATAAACAAATACTTGTTCAAAAAAGGAAAAAAGGTCTAAAATGCCCAAAGTAATAACAAAAGCTGTTGAAGATGTGCAAATTAACATGTTGTAAATTCCCAATAAATTAGTAAAAAAAAAACAGCACCTCAAACAGGTATGAACGGTGTTTTAAAGACTGACTCTGGCGAGTGAAATTCAAAACATATTTTTTTTTAGGTTCATCACTACGAACTAGCCATAAAGTTAAAAAAAATTCTGACAATGCATCCCCTATAAAGTTTCGATACTGCAACAGTCATTTTACCTTAATTTTGTTAAAACTACATATGGAATATTACAGATCGCTCAATTCAAAATCGTTTGTGACGTTTATGAATTGGAGCACCTCTATTGAATGATATACAAAATATAACAGGAGAAACTGCATAATGTGTTCAAAAAAGAAGGTTTAATCCTTGCATTAAAGCTGGTGATTAAGATTTTGAACAGATAGGTACTGTGAATTAGTATGAATTAGTTTGTGCACCACCGATTACTACTCAATATCCTTTTAAATAAAATAGTTGTTAATAGATATGCCTTTATAATTTAAAGTGAGAAGTAAGCTGTAAGGTAAAACAAATATGTGCTTGTTATATTAATAATATTAATATTTTTTTGTATGCATATAAGTAACAATGTATTTTGTAAATCCTGTAACAAATAAATAATAGAACAAACTTAAATTATGTGTTTATTACTTCCCATTATCCAGGTTCAATTCCAGTAAGTCTTAAATTTGTTTACTTTAATTGCAATAATTGCCAAATACTGCCATTGTCTTCTGCCTATCGTATTTAGAGTTTCAGCTGTAGCTAAATATCTTAGGACCGATTCCACCGTTGTGTTAAACGAAGTTTAAAATGACATTTTTACATTAACAATGTCATTTTAATCTCCGTTTAACACAACGGTGGAATCAGCCCTTAAAGAGTCAATCTAAAGTAAATAATTTTTAATTTTATTCATATTTTAATGCATAACATTTTTATCCATAACTTTTTTGTGCCCTGTTCTGGTAAAGGTTTTTTTTTGTACTAGTGACAATAACTAGTACGAACCATATTTCAGTTTATTATTCTTTTCGTTAAATACAAACTAGATATAAACAGCTCAGTTTTTAAGGTTATGTTATTTATATCATAATTTTAAAAATTAGATTATTGAATTTGATTAAATCTAATTAAAATATCGAATTCTAACATTAAAATACAATAATGTAAAGCACCTCTAATTAATATTATGAATTTGTGTTGTAATTCTAACAGTTACCTAACTGAATTTTTTTCTCGTAGTTGCAGACCATAAAAAAAGAAGATCTATTTTCTATTTGTAATAAAATACCTACGGCACTGACTCAAATTTAGGGATTTTTACTTTTATTTTCACCAATCGCTGTCATGACGATTTGGTCACGTGGGTTTTCGGTATTGTTGAAGACCCAGTAGATAAAATTAAATAATTTATCAATTATCAATAACCCTAAGAAGCTATTTAAACACATAAGATGCTCTCTATCTTCTAAAGTATCAGTACCACTTCTTAAAAAAACGGATGGAAACTTATGTAATAATGATCAAGAAACAGCTGAAGCTCTGGCCAACCATTTTTCACAAGTATTTTCCTTAGAACCCACAGGCGACATTCCAGTTAGTCACGATGCCCGAACAGCAACTTCTTTATGTAATGTCGAGTTCTCATCTGCAATTGTTAATGAAAATCTCAAAAAAATCAAATCAAATTCCTCACCTGGAATAGACAATTTATCCGCAATGCTTTTAAAAGAATGCGCATCATATTTGGCTTTACCTCTATCCATTATTATGACATCTTCTTTTACATCTCACACACTTCCTTCTATGTGGAAAATTGCTTCTGTGACACCTATTTTTAAAAAGGGTGACAAACTCAGTCCATCCAACTATCGTCCAATAAGCCTCGTCCCAATCGCTTGTAAAATAATGGAATCCATCTTAACCAATTATATGTCTGATTTTTTTAAGAGCTATGACGTCTTGCCAAAAGGACAACACGGTTTTATTAAAGGCCGATCCACATTAACAAACCTAATGACCTGTTTAAACGATTGGACTACGTCTGTGGACAATAAAGAGCCTGTCGATGTCGTATATCTTGATTTCGCTAAAGCCTTTGATCGTGTTCCCAAAAAGAGATTGCTTTATAAATTGGAAAAAGCTGGCATTCGCGGCTCTTTACTTCTCTGGATAAGTGATTTTTTGTCAAATCGCATCTTCAAGGTAAAAGTTGGACAGATGTTCTCGTCAGAGTATCCAGTTCTAAGTGGTGTCCCTCAAGGCTCTGTCATAGGGCCATTACTATTCCTGGTATACGCTGCAGATCTAGGCAAAGACTTAAATTCTAATATTTCGTGTTACGCTGATGACACTAAGCTATACTGTAATCCTGTGACAGATTCTACCCAGCTACAAAAAGACCTTGAAACTATTTCAAACTGGTGTGACACCTGGCTGCTTCCTTTAAACGCGGAAAAATGTGTCGTCCTGCATATAGGAAAAAATAACCCGTGCGTGAACTATTATTTAAACGGTAGTGCGTTAGCAACTGTGAACTCCTATAACGACCTGGGACTCATTGTAAACTCTTCATTAACGTGGTCAGAACACATATCAGCGGTATGTAAACGTTCGAACTCAATGATCTACCTATTAAAAAAGTCCTTTACGCGTGTGAACTTTCAAACATTTTCTAAACTTTATACAACTTACGTTAGACCGTTGATGGAATATGTCGGACCTGCGTGGTGTCCTGATTTGGTTTCTGATCAAAAAAGATTGGAAAATGTTCAACGCTACGCTACTCGAATACCTTTCGGCAGAATCAGACCATCGTATGAAGAACGGCTTAACATGGCGAATTTGTGTTCATTTGCCCACAGAAGATTAAGGGGTGATTTAATTGTGACATACAGAATTCTTCATGGTACTTTTTCATCAAACCTCTATAGTATACTCCCACGGAATACAGATGAGCGCCTCCGTGGACATGAATACAAGTTGAGCAAAGAATATTTTAAAACACGTACCCGAGAAAACTTTTTTTGTAATAGAGTTTTTTATACTTGGAATAATTTACCCTCGAGTGTTGTTCGCGCACAATCAGTAAATGTATTCAAAAATCGACTCGATGACTTTTTTAACGAAAACTAAAAGTTTATTTTTAGTGCTTTGTTTGCATTATGTTATTTGCTAATTACTTATTTAATAATTGTCTTTGTTATTGAACTTGTAATTTTGGGCTTAATAGGATTCATTCCTCAGCCCTAATTAGTTTGTAATAATAATAATAATAATTAAAACATGTAAGACTTATTTAGAAATAAATACAACAGTATGTTAGCTTTAAACAAGTTTGTTTTAATTTTCACAATTTTTTTTTTTTAATTCCCATAAGAAGCCATGCATTTTTAATAGCGTTAGCAGCACTAGCGCCCATGCGGTGATTTATAAAAGCTCAATTAGCGTTCTTTTTTGGGACCGTATTTCGAGTATGCCGATTCGCCTCCATATCTGTACTCTTCATAATTTTCTAATGAACACATCATAAATTTTCGCAGGAATATTTAATAAATACATCCTCACCCAATCAGTTCGACGAACTGAATGAATATGTCTTTTTT